TTTGTTTTAGTTTCAAACTGTGGCTCATCCTCTTAGCCTGTGCCCTACTCAGTGCAGTGTCATCTTGTTCAGCTGGTGTTCCTCACAGAAATACATTTGATGGTTGCAAGAAGGGGATTTTCTGTTTTGATTATAGCAGGTAGCAATTTAAAGCTTATTTTTCAGAGTAATTTTTTTTGTTGTTGTTGTGTTCTTTTACATAGGAATAGTTCATACTGGGTCAGGCAGAAGTTCTTTCCGAGTCCATCGTTTTCTCTCTGAGGAGAGTGGGTACCTAGGAAGAGAGTGAGACCTGGGCAAATACAGAGAGATCCTTGTCCTGAAACACCCTTTCATCCTGCTGAAGCTTAGGCAATGCAAGTTTGAAACACTAGGAATACCATTGTATCTAATCACCTCGGGGGATCTTTTTTTATAAGAGTGTCTACAGGTGATTTTTGAACATGTTTATTCTTTTGTTATTCATTCTGTCACTCCAGCAAGTTGTTCTACAGCACACTTGGGCATTGTTCTTGTGGAAAAGTACTTCTTTATTATTTTAAACTTCTGTTTTGTAAACAAAGGCAAGCAATGGTGGGAAAGTTTTACTTAGCTTAAGTGATACCTTAGTTTAGATAAAGCTACTTAATCCCTTGCATTAAATAAATAAAAGGAAAATAAATAGGCCAATGAACTCCTAATAGTTGCATACAGGGTTTATTCAGGGAAGAATACCCACACTTCTTATATACTTAGGTCTCAAGTTTTTTGAAGCAGTCTTTTTGCCCTGAGTTTGCACAACACCTGCCTCATTAAAGACTTGATCCTGGGACTCAGGCTCCAAGACAAAATGACACCAAAATGATAATAATGGATTGTTTGAATGATAAATAAAAGGAAAATTTAAAAAAAAAAATGGCGTGGTGGCTGCTATGTGGATACAGAACACTGTTGATTTTTGTCACATACGTTTCAATCCCTTTCCAAGCGACCTGTTGCAAAGAGAAACATTTTCTTAGACAAGCAATAAAATAACTGAGTTTCTTGAATTCAAGATTATATTCCCTATCTGTTCTTTCCTGACAGTGTTAATGACCAGTGATGATGCTACTCCCAGTTTCTCCCTTGAGCTGACAGAGTCAACACCAGCTGCAGGTATGTTTGTGGCCAGGAGATCCCCAGGAGGGTTTTCTGACTGTTCTACTATAAACTCTCCACAAATTATGTCAGAAAATCTGGATCTGAGGACACCAATAAGGCTATGGAAGATTGTCATGAGTTACAGTCACCCTGTGCTTCAAAGGACGGCTTTTCCCAGCAGCATTTGGGGGGCATCACAAAAAGCTGCGCTGCTCTGCAGCACACTCAGAGCCTCAGGAAGAAGAGTGACTTATGGACTAACTTATTTCCTTAGTGTGCCAGCCATTGGCCTCTGTCATCCCAGCTCTCCTTCCCCAGGGTTGATGAGGTATATGATAATGAGCTGGTGTGTAAAGCGGGTCTGGGAGAAGACTGGGGCAGGGAACACTCAGTTTAGAGTGCTGTTTGAAATTCCAGTATCCAGCCATAAAGTCCAAGTTGCTTTCCTCTTTCTTTTTCTGCAAACTCCACAGATGGAGTGAAGGAAGGACTGGAGTTCATTTATAAACCACCATTATTTGTAAACTTTTCTCCCTTCTCAACAGAATAGACTCGATACTGAAACTTTTTTGGGGTTTTCCATCACATTTAAATCCTCCTTGTGCAATAAACTGTGTTGTTAATTTGTATTTCCTGTATGGTATTCCTTTGTTTGCAGGCTCTTTTTCTTTCTGGGATGTTCCTGTCCAAGGATGTTAAGAAGCTTTAATTGTTTCCTGGTGCTTCATCCTTTCCCATTCACTAATGTAGATTTGGTGGCTGAGGTTTGCTGACAGACGCCTTTCCTTTCTCTCTGGATTGTATCCACAGGTCTGGAGAATAATCAGATTTGGATGCTGGAGTTTTTTCCTCATATGCTTCCTCCTTTCCGGGCATTGGTGTGAGGAAAAAAAGCTTTTTCTTCTGGAAAAGCTTAATAGTATGTTGGTGAAGAGAGCACTAGCCAAGGGCTGTTTGTCTTGGGCACTGTAGTTATGGCAGACTGGATTTAAATTTAGCTGTGTATAGATGTTCTCAGTGGGTTCTTTAATATATTTTAGCTGTGAGGATCTCAGTAGAATATTTAGTAGCAGGGAGTGGGAACAGTATAGGTTGTTCATTAACGATGCTAAGTAGACAAGAGTGTTTAGTTATGGAGCAGAAAGCAACAACAAACAGAAAAAGACATTAAATTCTGAAAGACATTTGTAGCCTTTGTCCTACTTGCATCTTGTCATGTTCAGCCTAAGTTGCTGAATTCCCATCCTCTGTGACCTTGGGGGTAGCCAGCAAAATCCCTGGTGTGGGCTAAGGTGCTGGTGCCTGAAAGTATGGGAGCTCTGTGAAGTGTTTTACCCTGCTGACCACCCCCTCCACCCTGCAAGGAAACCCCACTGGGAAAACTAACTACGTGTGGTAGCCATCTGCTACCTGTTGTAACCTGGTATTTGCTGCTTCTGTTGTTCCCCGAGACGTCCTTGCTCCCTCACCTCTATTGTGTTATTCTGCTGCTGTCTGTCAGCTGTGAGACAGAGGGGCAAAGGAAAAGTTTTAGGGAGGTTTCTACAGTTGTACTGGGGATGGACACCACTATAACCTCCATCAGAGCCACCCCTGGACACAACACATCTGCTTTCTGGGAGGGTGAAGAAC